GGGGATTGGGAATCGAGGGGAACAAGCACGCCGCGTCCAGTCGCATCATGATTCAACGCCCCCGCGGCATCAGGAAGCAACTTCTGGGAGGTCGTCGCAAAAAAACGACCACGGGTTACGTAGCCCGATTAGAATGGCCAATACACCGCATGTGCCCGAATTGGGCCACGAATCAAAACGAAATTGGGCCGAATCGGGCAGGAATGAAGCGAATTAAATGGGACTGCGCAGGACTTGGTTTTGTGCCTTGAGTACACTGGCGGCGATGCTGCATTCATCTTCGAGGGGTTGCATCCTTAAGAACAAGCGAGCCGCGTCCATCTGCACGTTGCTCCAGCATCCCCACGTACACAGCATGCTTGAGCTGTGCTCGCGTCATCCCCAGTGAGGCGGGGCGGCTACGCAAACATCAAGGCCATGAGACCCTCAGCTGCCGTGTCGTGAAGATGGGAGGACGAGGGAAAACAGCGACGATGACCAGTTCGAGGAAGGGAGGGGTTAGGAGGCTAAGGACGAGGAGGAGGGGCACGAGACGGAGGCGGCAGCGGCGGGGTGGGAGCAGAGGAAGGGGGAGGTGGAGGATTGATGAGGAATGGAAAGGAAGAGGAGGCAGAGGAGAGGAAACGGGTGGAGAAGGAGCAGCAGCAGCAGCAGCAGCAACAGCAGCTGCAGCATCAGAGATCTCGGGAGGTTCAGGATCGGCGAGCACGCGCATGAGCAACAAGTTTGGCAGGAGCAGAGGGCAAATGACGAAAAGAAGTCCTCGGGCTGCGACTCCCCATCTCCCATGTGTCCGCTCCCTCCGCTTACAATTCCTGGTCTCCATGCTGCTGTTACTGCTGCTGCATCTCTTCCTCCTTCCTCTTCCTCTTCCTAATCATCCTCATTCTCCTCCTTGCCGTCGCTCGGACGTCCATTTCCCGTGCATGTTTCCGTTTCGTGCGTGCGTTATTTTACTCGATGGTCCAGGATGGTCCTCGATAGTTCTCGCCGAGAAAAATGCACACGTCCGAGCGATGCCAAGCCTCCTGATTATCCTCCATCGCCTCCCTCTCCCTGTATCCCAGCTCCTACCCGCGTCCCTCACTTTTGGTTGACCCAAAAGGGGGTCCAGCTGAAAGGGGGTGGTACAACAGATTTGGAGCCATGTAATGCGCCAGAGAATTGTTTTGCATTGTATTGCAATGAATGTGCTGCACGCGACAAGTCAGCAACACATTTGCGCACAAGAAGAGATGCAGTGCACGCCCAAAATCTGCTGCAACCCCACAGATATGTTGCACCAAATCTCTTGCACCACCCTCTTTTCGCTGGACCATCTTTTGGGTCAACCAGGTCACTCCCCCTAGAGTCCCCAGGGCCCTTCACCCCCAAGCCCTCTAGGAGCACAAGAAGCCCGATATGTCCCCCCCTCCTCTCTCCCACCCCCGCAGCCCCAAACCCAGCCCCTGCATTCATCCTGCACGAGCTCCCGAGAACCCTGCCAAAACGTGCGGTGTCTTGACTTTGTCAATACGGGGCCCCCAGAAGTCCCGACCCGGTCCGCAGGGGCGGTGTGTCGTCCCGAGTCGTTCTCTGGCGGCCCCGGGGGCACGACGGGGGCCCCTGGAGGCTGAAAACCACCAACAGGCGCCCGTCGTAGCTCGCCACGGCGCAAGCACGTCTGGGCCCAGATCCCCGAGAAACCCTTCGAGACACTCCTTGGCTACCCCTCGCCCCTGGCAGCCCTCCCGGTCCTCCGGGGATCTCCTGACCCGGGTGAATCCAGACCCGGGCCAGTCAGGCCTTGCAGAATCCTGCAAATCCTGCAAGATGCTGCACCCAAACCCGGGTCAAGGTGAAGGATCCTGCGGGATCCTGCAGGATCCTGCGCCCAAGCCCGGGTCGATGCGGCCCTGGCCCTGCAGGATCCTGCAAGGTCGGGCGATCTGGCTGACCCCCGCCTGCATTGACCCCTCGCCCCAGCCACCCCCCCGAATTCTGGACGCCAGAAATGGGTACGGAAAAAATGGGTACAATGCCCAACAACATATGTTGTCCCAAACCACCAGCGGCCGCTGTTGGGCAGGCGGCCTCCTGTCTCTATTCCAAAATGAGCAAGAACTGCTGTTGGGCATTGTACCCATTTTTTCCGCACCCAGTTCGGCCGCCTCCCCCGTCTCTTGAGCCCTGATCTCGTAAAACCATGACCAGAGGGGGCGCCGATAAGACCCCACGACATCTTGGTCATGGTCCCCATGATGATTCCCTGGATCTCACCTCCCCTTCAGCGCGCCGCCGACAGCGCGGGCCTGCATTGACCCTTCGCCTACTGGCCGCCCCCCCGAGTCCTGCAGGTGCGGCTGGCACCGGCAGCACAGGTACCAGTCGCACTCCCGGCAGTCCAGGACCCTCGCGCCCTGGGGCGTCGCGCCCCTGCAGCCGTTGCAGACTCCTGGGGGGCAGCAGCTGCCCCCCCCCCCAGTCGTCTAGGGAGGAGGGGGAGGAGGACGAGGAGGAGGAGGAGGAGGAGGAGGAGGTGGAGGAGGAGGAGGACCCCCTCCCCCTCCAACTTATGGTGGTGGTGGTGGTGGAAAACAGGCCCATCCTACTACGGAGGCGCCCCCCCACGACTTCCAACCTGGTGACAAATCTGCGACGGAGAATCCTGGTGGTTTTTGTTGCCTCGGGGGGGCCCTCGCTGGGCCCTCTGGGCCCGTCAGAAACGATTCGGGAAAGGAAAAAAATCCCAGGATAGGGACCGAGACTCTGGGGACGCCGCTTCGCAAAAATCAGAACATCGTATCATCGACGGGGGGTAGGACAAAAGCGATGTGGGAAGGAGGAGGGATGGAGGGAGAGGGGGAGAGAGGAGTGAAGGGGGCAGAAAGGAGGCAGGAGGAACGTGGCAGGGAGGGAGGGGGAGAAAGAGGGAGGGAGGTGATATGTGGAATCGAACGCGATTCGATGACCAAGTCACGCCGCCCCTAAGCGGCACAATACCGAGAGCAAGGAGAACAAGCATGCGATTACGGCACGCAGCGGTGCACGTGGAAGGCGAAGGCCACTGCCCGAATCTGTTACAGAGAGCAAGCATCATGGTCAGGACACACCGAAACACGCACATAATTTTCGCTGTGTCATGATTCCGCACATGGCATTGACCTCCCCCTAGTACACGAGCATGAAAGTGAATACGAAAACGTGGGTCTGAGTCTGTGGAAGATAAATGAGCGACGCCAACTGGCCGATCCTCGGATTGCCCATCACCCCACGCCCAGCAGGACAACACCCGTAGGCACCAAAGGACCAGAACATAAACAAAAAACTAAGGCGGGAACTGCCCGCACCAGAAATTGAAGAAAAAGGGGCAGGGGGAGGGAGCAGGGGGCAGGGGGGAGGTCTCCTCCTCGCCCTTCCGCCAAGCCACCCGCGGCGACAGCACGACCGCAAAACCGACCGACGCGGCAACGAGACCCAAACCGACGTGCCGCAAGCAGCCTGTGGAGGCCTCCCAAATGGGACCAGAGCGCGGGGGGGTTGGAGGATCGCGCGCATCGCCGATGCTCACGCGCCAGAAAGGAAAAGCACAACCACTTATCCAACCTGCCCCCCACTCCCACAGTAGGGGCTCGACCACGAGAAACCTCCCACAAGAAACCCAACCCTGAGACCCCAGCCAGGGCGTCCATGGGTTCTTGGTGTGGGAACGTCACACTCTCCATCGCAAAACCATCGAACAAAAAACAGAGCACCCTCGAGGCAAGCAGGGTGTTTCTCAGAATGGGTCGCTGCTGTATAAACAAGGTCGATACTCGGCCCCGCTCCATTCCGTCTGGCACCTCGGTACCGGCCGAGAGTAGCCCTGTGGCAAGGAGGAGGAGAGACGACAACGAAGAGACGGCACAGCAGAGGGCCCGAGGGGAAGGGGGTGCAACGGGTCGAGCAGGAGATCAAACACATAACTACTTTACCCCAATCTTTTTTTGTCAAATCGCCATGGGAATACGTAGTAGTCCACGAACGTGCTCCTTTTCCTTTCTAGATGCGACGAAGAATCAATTTCGGTGTAAGTCGATTATGTAGTTGATCCCCTACTCGAACGGGGCGGGAGGGAAGGCGCGCGCTCGCCGCACGGGCGCGCTCAACTTTACGCGGACGATCATTGATCACCGTACCGAGCCTCCAAAATTTCGAAGGGCCGCGTCGTCGAATGCCGATTGCATTGGCGCGCCCCCATGCGAGCCCAGTGAAGATGCGCGCGCCAGCCTTTCGACCCAAGTGGACGACTTGAGAGCTCGACAACCGACTCTGAAGCCGTCGATGAAAGCCCAAGCGCGGTACGGTGCGTAGTTTTCGCCCTTGCAGAGAACACCGCAATTATGCACCGTACCAAGCGGGGCGCCGTATGCGGCGGGGCATCTCCGAAACATCCGTCTAACCCCTCCGCCGCAGGACCACCAGGGCCCGCAAGGAGTTCCAATGATGCGAATGCAGGCCCAAGTCGTTTCCAAATCCTCCTCAGTGATCTTGCGCGAATCGGCATCTACAACGAATGGCCCAGGGTTGCTGCCATGGTACGGTGCATGAATATAGTCTGCGGAAACTCCCCACCGCGGTCCGTCCGACACGCTCCTGGCCTTCCGCCGCGCCGCTGCCCACGCCGAATCGGCGTGGAATCCATGTCGGACTCGTCGAACCGCGTCGACTCCACGACAATTCCGCATCGACGTCACGACGAGTCCGCGTCGGACCCACGCCGAAGCCGCGCCGGGCTTCACATCGAACCCGCGTCGGGCACAAGAGAAGCACACGAGTCTCGCGGACAGACAGAGCCCATAAGGTGTGCAACGCAGCTCGATCCTGCTGCGCCTGCTCGACCCTCCTCCTCCTCCTCCTCCTCCGCCTCCTCCTCCTCCTCCTCCTCCTCCTCCTCCTCTTCCTCGTCCTCCTCCTCCTCCTCCTCCTCCTCGTCCTCCTCCTCCTCCTGCAGCCCGTGCGACACGCTCCTGGCCTCCCGTGGAGGAGGCAGGACGGCCAGCGGCGCCACGGGGGCCCCGCCGGGCCGGGTCCTCCCGGCGTGATCCACGTCTTGAGCTGGTGCCCCTCGGCCACAGGGAGGAGGAGGATGAGGAGGAGGAGGAAGACGACAACGAGGACGAGGAGGAGGGGGACGAAGAGTGGGAAGAGTTGAAAACGAAAGGGGGGAGAAGGAGGAGGAGGATCGGCGCAGGAAGGGGGAGAAGAGGGGAGGAGGGGGAAGAGGAGGAGGAACATAATGGAAGGAAGCGGGAGAGGAGGAGGAGGAGGAGGAGGAGGAGGAGGAGGAGGAGGAGGAGGAGGAGGAGGAGGAGGAGGGGGAGGAGGAGGAGGAGAAGGGAGAGGAGGATGAGGAGGAGGAGGAGGAGGAGGAGGAGGAGGGGGAGGAGGAGGAGGAGGAGAGGGAGGAGGAGGAGGAGTAGAGGGGAAAGGGGGGAGAGGAGGAGAGGAGGATGAGGAAGACAGAATGGAAGGGGGGGAGGAGGAGAAGCGAGGAAGAATGAGGGAGAGGAGGAAGCGGTTAGGTGATAGCCATCAGGAGGGGGAGGAGGGAGGAACGGGGGATGAAGAAGCAGGAGGGAAGGAGGAGAGAGGGTGGAGGAGAGAGGGTGGATGAGGGAGGAGATAAGCGGAGAGAGACGAGAGAGAGAGAGAGGAGAAAGGGATGATAGGGGGAGGCTGAGGCGTCACATAGCGCTCCCAAGCATTGCCGATGGCGCCCGGGTGGGGACACAAGAGGTGGTGGCGTCAACCTTTTTGGAGAAGCAAAAAAGTAATCACCGATACCACTACTCCACGAACTGGTCCCCGCGTGCGTTCTGACCAGGATGCCGACCGGAATGCAACCGTGGCAGCAAAAGGCGCAATATGCTGAAACACAAACCTGGTGAGCGCATCAGAGAGGAACGCCCATGAATATCAGCCTCCTCCTAGTCCTGCTCCTGCAGCCGATGCTGCTGCTGTCCACCCGCCGCTACAGCCGATGATGCTGCTGCTACTCTCTCTCTCTCTCTCATTCTCCTGCGCCGCGCGGGGTGGAGCTCAGATCGAACTAGCATGAGTCGCACCAGAGGCACGATCGATGTGAAAACGATCCGCACTCTGATGCTGGAAGAAGTTTCCATACCCACGCCCTCGCGATCTGGATTATGGGATGCGATCCCGTGGATACGTGGTCGCATGGACACATTCCGCGCGAAAACATCCGCGAGAAAAACGCCCCATATCGACGGGGTCGCGGCCCGGGGGCCTGGCCGGCCAACGAGGCCGTGGATACGGATATGTCTTCCGCCCACGACCCGTAAATGAGCACTTCAGTAAACGTAATCTAACGTGTGGAACGGCTACCAACCTGTGAGCATGCAGAGCCAGGAACCAAAACAACATGAAAACGAAAGGTCAATTTCGGTACGCCAACTCAAATGGCGCTGGTCAGGGCTCGCAAAAGAAAATAACGAACAAACAAACGAAAAACGGGTGAAACCACAATGATCACTGAATCAGAGAAAGCTGGACGGGGCTCACCTGGAAAAAATGGAAGGCGGCCCGGATCTTTCTCCTCCTCCTGTTCCTCTTCCTGCTCCTCCCTATTCCTGCTCCTCATCTTGCGATTTCTCCTCCCCTCCTACCTCTTTTTCGCGTCCTCATCCTCCTCCACATCCTCCCCATCATTTTCCCGCTGACGCTCCTCCTCCTCCTCCTCCTCCTCCTCCTCCTCCTTCTCCTCCTCCTACAACTCCTCCTAGTCCGTTTCCTCCTCCTCCGTCTCCTCCTCCTCCTCCTCCTCCCCCTCAAAATGACTCATCTTCCTCCCCCTCCTCCTCCTCGCCATCCTCTTCCTCCTCGCTCTCCGCCTCCTCCTCCCCCCTCCACTTTCCTCCTCCACATCGCTCTCGCCCCCTGCCCCCCTGCTCTGTCTCCTGCGTGTGCGAGCCCGGTCGAGCAGCGAGCAGCACGTCCAACAGCCCAAAAGAAACTGCACACCCACAGAACTTCGGCGAGCCCACGACGACAGCCCACACATCCGACGACACGATTTGATGGAATGCGCGGCCCTCCCGGGGCCAGTCTTTCGCCTCAGAAGCACTGTTGATGGTCACGCGGGACTCACCGGAGGCCTAGATCGATGGAAGAACACGCCCGGATTGCAAGACTCAGACCGTCGGAGAGATCTGGGGGTGCAAAAGAGGCCTCCTAGCTGGGGTCCGAGCAGATGGGGTCGCCAGCATCGCGCTGCTTCGCCGATGCATGGGCGATGCATCGGCGACGTCGGCGACGCGTCGGCGACGCCTGCGAGGAGAAATCGGGCTCCACATTGAGGCGCATCGCCCGAGCATCAGCGATGTGGCGCGATCCTCGGGCGCTATCTACGCAGACCCCGCTTGGGAGGCCTCCTGATGCTGCCGCCACCTCCGCCGCTACCGCCGCTGCCCCGCGCGCGGGCCTTCGGGCAGCTGTCGATGCGCCACCTTAGGAGTGCGCCAGCCCGGCCCGCCCTCCTCCTCCTCCTCCTCCTCCGCCTCCTTTGCCTCCTCCTGCTCCTCTTCCTCCTCCTCCTCCTCCTCCTCCTCCTCCTCATCCTCCTCTTCCTCCTCCTCCTCCTCTCTTGCTCCTCCGCCTCCATTATTTTCCTTATAGATAACTTCTCGCTGTCGCACCCCGAGACCAGTCGAAAAGGCGGGCCAGGCGTTTCGTCTGATGCTTCTTCACCAGTTATGACCCTGAAGCTTAACATTTGGCAGCAGTTTCACAGATGGAAGGAGGATCGTTTTCAAAATATGTGACTCTCGCCCTTGCGACGCGCAGTCGCTTTACACTTTGAAAAAATAACGGATGGAACGCGGATGGTTTTCAACATGTCCCTCTCGCCTTAGCGCCGCGCACATTCGTTTTAAAACATTGCGGAAAACTCACAGATTGAAGGCGGGTGGTTTTCCAAATGCGCATCTCGCCTAAGCGCCGCGCGCGTCTGTTATAAAAACGAGCGTGCGATTCACGAATTGAGGGCGGGTCGTTTTCAAGATGTGGTTCTCGCCTTAGCGCGACGCACATTCGTTTAAACATGTGCAAGAGCTTCGCGGGTTGAGGGCGGCTCGTTTTCAAACTGTGGTTCTCGCCCGAGCGCCGCGCAAATCCCACCAGCCTTCTGGGCGTAGGTGGTTTAGGGGGTCTTCTCTTCCACCCCTCCGTCTTCCCCTTCGGGGAGGGGTTTATTACTGTTCCCTATTAATATATATATATATATATATATATATTAAAATGCACCCCCTCCCCCAGGCGAGTGGGCGCCAACCAGGGTCAATGCGGGCACCCCCCACCATCCCTTTGCAATAACAATACGAACACACACTCTGCCTCCAAATTCGGAGCATGCGCAGCAAACCCGATGCGCCCCCCCCCCCCGCCCCTGCCAAACAACTATACGGAGTACACTTGGCGGCGGCGGCGGCTGCGGCTGCGGCGGGAGCAGCGGCTGCGGCGGCTGCGGCGGCTGTGGCGGTGGCTGCGGCGGTGGCGGCGGCGGCGGCGGGGGCGGCGGCGGCGGCGGGCGGCGGCGGGCGGCGCGGCGGCGGCGGCGCAGCGGCGGCGCGGCGGGCGGCGGCGGCGGCGCGGCGGCGGCGGCGGCGGGCGGCGGCGGCGGCGGCGGAGGCGGCGGCGGCGGCGGATTCGCCCCAAGTAGCTGCCCATCCAAAGATGACTACTGAACATGCTGCGGCTCGGGCCAGGCCCGGATGCTACGTATGTGTTGGGGGAGCAGGTGGGAGTGAGCGAGACGGCGTGCGGGCGGGGAGGGAATATTGACCCCTCCCCCTACCCCCTCCCAATGGACCTGGACAGGGGGGTCCGCGAGTCGTCGGTGCGTCTAAGACGGCCTCGGCGAGGAAGCCAAACTCATTGGTTATACTAAGGTGCTGGCCCCAGGTTGGCCTCCTGATGGGGGGACCCTAATTAGGAACCCCCCTCCTGTGATCGATACCACCCAAGATGGCCCAAAGATGGCCCCCAAGGCTCCCAGGGGTGCCCCAAGAGGTGACCCAAGAAGGCCCCCAGGATGCCCCCAAGAGGCTCCCAAGAGACCTCCCAAAGGCCCCAAGAGACCCCCCAGAGGCACCCAAGATGCTCCAAAAGGTCTCGGCGAGAGTGCCAAATCATTGATTATACTAATGTTTTAGCCACATGTTGGCCTCTTGTGGGGGGGGGACGGACTAAGATGACTCCAAGAGCGCCTGGGAGAGCCCAAGATGACCTCCAAGATGGCTCAAGATATCCCAAGATGTCTCAGAATGGCCCCCACGATGCTCAAAGATGCCCCGAGACCGCTCCAAGACGGCTTCAAGGGGCCAAAGAACTCCCCCAGGAGCCCCGAAGAGGCCCCAACCTTAGGAACATCTATGTGTTTGACGTTCTCGCCTTTTCGCTTCCGATGGCCATCCGAGGCCTCAATATGGCTCCAAGATGGCCCAAGAGGGCTCCAAGAGAGGCTCAAGAGAGCCCCAAAACGGCCCCAAGCGCGACTTAGAGCACTCCAAGAGCGCCCCAAGAGCGCCCCAAGAAGCGGTGTGTTGGGCTTCCGAGGGGCAACGCTAACTAATGCTCGCTGCTTGGTTGATCGATGTCCTCCAAGATGGCCCCAAGAGCGCTCCCACGGCTCCCAAGAGCGCTTCAAGAGGGCCCCAAAAGGAGCCCAGGAGGCCCCAACAGGCGCCCAAGAGGCCTCCAAGATGCTCCCAAGAGAGCTCTCCGAGGCACACAAGACGTTCCAAGAGGCCTGCACTGGGGGACACTTCCTCTGTGTGCTGCCCACTTCCCTAATCGAGGCAATTCCTCTGGGCATCGTGTCTGTATGGGCTGGTGGGGTTATGCGAAGCGTCTAGAATTCCTTTCAAGAACATTCCAGGGTATCACGGATTCCCGTGGTCAACGTACCAAACATGGTGAGTTGGATTATGAGGGTGCAACGAGTACGTTGATTCGCGGTGAT